AATCATAAGTAATTTATCTCATCATCCAACGTACGATGAATTTAGTTGGAGATTATGAGATTCAGAAGGGATTGTAAAATTTTTCTAAATGTATATAAATTGGCAAGTGTCATCCTCAAAAATGATTTAACCCTAGTAAAATCACAGGGTACTCGTAACCTACATCTACATGTGTTATACATCTATATTTTTCTTTTTTCTTTCTATTCCCCGCCGAACGTCCGTATTAACATGTTTGGTAATGGAATCGTAACCTCGAGTGTATGTGATCCCGTTCGGATCCGTATTAACATGTTTGTTTTTTAAAACCAAAATGTGAAGGTTAAAGTGTGTGTTTTTCAGCTAATGGATTTCTGAAACTACGCCAAGTATTCGTTGCTAATTAATTCTTGCTTATAGTGAGTTTCGTTCTTCTTTTCCTAAAAATTCACTACAACAAATTAAAGAATGCATGTTTTTCCTTTCCTTTGAAACCGAGTTTCCAGACGGGGCTCTACAAGTGCTGATCGCCGCCCCAATCAAAGACCCAAAAACAGTTTCATTTGCAAGAATCAGCTGCTCATTTTTAATAGTGGGATACGATCAAAATGAAGACAAACGGGACAGTTTCCACGGCGAAAGGAACGGATGCAGCCATGGAGAAGAAGCTCCTCCTTCACTACTGTCTCACTTTAAACCCATTTCTTGACTGCTATGTCAAACCCTCGATCATGTAGCCTTTGAATTTCTGAACAACTATGAGTATAGCTGAGTAAATCTTTAATGAACATCCTACTACATTATATATATATATAAAAGAATATCCTACTACACCTATTGCATATTTATTCTCTCTCTCTCTCTCTCTCTCTCTTAAAATGACGAAGGTTTCTAAAATCACATGTCAAGATACTTGAGGAATAACAATCCACGTAGTGTTGAAAAGATCGTCTCCTAATCCAATATTAAGTTGTTATAATGCAGACACATTTTCCTGTGGATTAAAGGAATAAAAAAGAATCCCTACCTAATAATTAATTATAGGTATTATGAAATAACTGGATACGGCAATCTGGCTATCAAATCATTCTTAACTTCTTTAGAATTATTTCGGAACATCATTCGCCAATCATGTATGCATATTGACGCTCATACAGGGGAAAGCAACGCGGGCTGTACCAAAGTCCCCGTGTATGTTTCATTTCCTGAGCTTAGTCATTCTCGTATGCATGCACCTGAATCATGGCAAATTGAACTCTTTCTTTTTTTTCTGCCCAGTTGAACTGAATTATCACTGTTTATATGTTCCATTTTTCGTTATTTTGCTCTTTGATTGACTATGAAATGATTGATTATAAAGGTTCCTACCGAGTCCTGAGCGAGCAGCCTCGAGACTCAAAGGACATATATACATACATATATATATATCTACATTGACATAACGCGTTCACGGGGGAAATGTTCTTAATTAATTAATGCTTTCCTTGGATAAAGATTACCCACAAACCATCAAATCCCAGAACATCCTTTATTACTGTTGTGTGTTCTATAGATCAAGAAAGAAATATAGGCGTTGCATGTATTTCAATTATATCCGAATCCCTTGTTAATTATGTATAAAAAAATTATTTGCTCGTATCATAATAAATACGTTTCCAATCACTTTTTTTTTTTTTTAGCTCATAAACATCACAGTGTGCTGTCATCCTAAAAACTATTATGTCAAATAATCCTCATATCCAAACACAAATAATTGTCTGAGTACATCCAATGGCCAGAAAGATTAGTTACGAATATTAAATGTCGAAGGTCGTTTTCAAGTTGAAGAAGGAAGTAAAGTATTACATCGAAAGATTCTGCCGATGGCTTGAGAACTCGGAAAATTGCGTTGTTATACACAACCACAAGCATCTTCTTTATGACCTATGATGTTACTCAAAAGATGTAAGAATCCTACTAGACAATGATCAAAAGAACAGGTAAGAATTAGTCATGAAAACGGGGGATCCAAATCCCAACCATCATTCTATTTCTATGGAGCAACTAAACTTCCCCGAGAAGCAGATTGACCGTGCAGATTAAAAGTTTGCTTTAGGATGAGACATGTAGATGCAAGCGTATTGCAGTAAGAATCAAATTGTGCAAGAACTTTCGCGTGACTGACATTGCTATAGGAACTGATAAAGAAACGTTGAAAAAAACTGGAAAATCATGTGTGTTACAACAAGGATGCGACTGACACGCGGATTGATGTATCCATTTTATTCCTTCCACCCTTGTTCCTGGCCTGCCAGCTCATGTCTCTGGAAACTATTCAAGACTCTTCCGTACGTTACCAACCCTCGATCCATCCAATTATGCGTATGAAAAAAGTCTGGGGTCACGCATTCACAATGTGCTCCCAACATCATCAACAAGCACGCACACACACACAGAGAGACACGCAGAGATAGATATCATGGAAGATGCAGGCCGGCCATTGGGGCACCCATGGACCGCTGTATATGGATCACACAGGGCACAGCTAGCACTTGGTGGTATGTTCGTTTCTCTGATGATGGATGACCCACACGGTATCACTACGTCAAAGCACTCGATATTAATTGGCTTTATACTAGCCTGAGAATTACGTGGATCAGATTGCTTCATGCATTATTACTCGGTAATCAGGAAATTAATGGGAATCGGGATGCACTCGAAAAACTTTTCCAACTTTTCTCATTTCTGAACCCGATCACCACCCTCGCGATCTACTATACAACTGAAAGCTCCTCTTGACCTACCTCCTGTTCCATTCTTTTCGGTGTTTTTCTTTTTTTTAAAAAAATTTATTATTATTAATAAATTTTCTGCAGCCCCCCTCAGGCTCAGGCCCCCAGATTCTAGATCTCAGTATGATTGTCCAACATGTCTTGTTTTATCAGATCAGTCATTAGCAGTCAGCGAGCGTGTGTGGATGTAAAATGTGTTTGTTTTGGGAAAGCCTGGCTAGCTAGCTCGCATCGATGGACCAGTGTAATTAGCCAAGCTGATTAATTATGGTATTGGGAACGAACAGTGACGAATTTTTTCAATCCACGCATTGCATTGGAGCTGCTCCAATCAATAATAATAGCACCGTACGTCTGGATTAGATGGGGGCTTACATCGAATAAAAACCGTGATCTTCAAGTTTCAGGCCAGCCGCAATTAGCTACGCGTCACCTCCAACGTTCACCAGCATATCGACTCTGGAATTCCGCCACTACTGTTCCAGTGAAAACGACGCTTCAGCTACAAGAGCCGAGATGACGTTCTGGGAGACAAATATATGCTTTAACCATCATCCCCAACCCCCCGCCCATTACTAAATAACCAAACGACGTACTATTTGCAATACATTAGGTACTATTTGCAATACATTAGGTATATAGTTTTTCTTTTCCAAAAGAATTTTTTTTTTTTTTTTTTTACAATTCTTGACATGTCTGCCATGGAGATATGGGACAAACATTCATCAATAAATCTTTCTATCATTTACCTGTCCCTTTGTCTTGAGAGACTCTGTCGCTTACGTATTAACAACCACATAAACACACCAAATTATCTCCCTGCTGCCAATTTAATTATTATTTAAAAAAGACGCAGTAATATTCCATGGAAGACACAACACGTTGTCCTGCACTGCAATCTCACTGCAAGAACTAAAGAGAACGCATTGACCTTGCGTTTGTGCAGCAGCGCAGTCTGTCCTGTTTTTATCCCGTGATCCGCCAATTATTGTGATTGGATTTCTCTCGGGAATGGATTGCTCGATTTGGATCCATTCCACCATCATCCACCCCTCTCGTTTAACCAAAAAAACTAATCCACGGACGCTACTGTTTTTTTTTTTTTTTTTTTTTTTTTTTTGGTCCCTCTAGCCATTATAGAAAACAGGGCATATGATTTTTATTGCTATTTTGGACCATCCTCCTTACGGTTCAGTTCAGTTGTTCGATACTTCTTTCTTTGCAAAGTCCCATGAAACCTCTTATTGATTTCTTTCGCCCGTGGAAAAGGGAACGAGCATGGTCATCCATTCTTCTCTGGTTTCCCCTTGCAGACAAGGATGGCTTTGCAATTTCAATGGGTTCACGTTCAGATGGTGACTCTTTGCCACTGGTCACCTCAGACGAAGCTTAATTGAGTCCCACAATCTTTGCCATGTTAAAAACTGGAGTCGTCTTGTTTTTCCAGATGGCACAACGGCATCGAAAATTAATGCTGTTCAACAAGGCCCTCCCTCAATCAGAGAAGCAATTATGGCGAATGATTGCGAGGACCACCTCCATAAATGGAGCTTTAGCGGCTGGGCTTGGCATTTTTACGCTATCAACCTCCCAGAACAGGCGGGAGAGGATTTTGGGACCCTCAGAAAAAAAATACACACACACACACACACACAACACGCACACTAACGAGCATTTTCTTGATTCTTTTCCCATAAAATTAGGCATTATCCGGGGAGCGTCACTTTAGTGTGTGGTGCAAGAAAAACCATGGGCGGCGTCACGCCTTTCTTCCTCAGCAGCCTAAGAAATAGCCTTTATATCCTTCAACTCCTAGATGGAGGATATCTGCTGATTAAGTTACCATGGGTGACTTGAACAGCATCAGCAATATACAGAATAGAGACACCTCCGCTGTATCTCTTTCTACCAAGACACAAAAAGTACGCAAGTAGACGCCTAGCAAGAAAGGCTTACTCTTCGTCGTATTATCGTAATCACCTAATTCGATTAGGACAAAACTACTAAAATTATAAATTCCAAGGTCCTCATAAAGCCTTACACTATAATATTGCACGCTTTTGAAGTCCACAAGAAGTTAGGGTTTATCTCCCTAGCCACAGTTGCTGTAGATGCATCGCTTTTTTATTCAAAAAAATAATAATAATTAACTACTAAGGTCTCATGAATGTTCACGCTAAATGAAGTCTGGAACGGGGATTAAAAGGAGAAGATATCGGCTACAATTGGAAAAGAGAGAGAGTGAGACCATTAGCATTTGCCAAAATTTATATATATAAATAATGGTGTGCAGAATCATCGACATCTAAAGTAAGAAAGTCTGTTGTAAAATAATACCAAGCTTTTCTTGTGGCAATTAACAAATCATTCTCAGACACAATCAACAGACAAACACGTGAGCAGAGACACGGAAGCAAAGCCGCGGGATTCCCTACTGGATGCTGACGTATCTCGCGTCATCCCCAAATGGGCCTCAAAATTTTGCAGAATTACTTTATGTGGCATCACTCGAAAGATGATAGGCACAAGCAGGGAGGGCTATACCGGGCAGGCAAAGCCCAGCATATTCCTACTGCAGATGATTGAATATCCCCTGAGGTGATCTCATGTCCCAGCCCTTGAACGAATCAAATAGTAGTATTTCGAAACAGGGCAGGATCCTATGTACTATGTTGTACTGTTGTTTATCTGCTTCTCTCCGTCTCCCCCCAACGACTGCTTCAAACCAAACATGGGTCTGCATTTCCTATCATCTTTTATTTTGGAGCAAGTTTTGGTTCCCCATGTCCTGATGTGAAACATCACCACCATGTATAAAATTGCACGGACTTCCACCCATCCGCTCCCTACATCTAGCCCTAAAAAAGGTTAAATATGTTTGAAGAAAATCTAACCATATGTATGGGAGCAGGGGATATCAAAGGACCCAACTTGAGCATGCATTAATCAAAGCACAACTCGCATCCACGAACCTAAATTGGGAAAATCTAAACTAAATTAAAGCCCAATTTGCATCCACGAACATAAGCTAGGAAAATTCACCAGGCATAATCCGGTTACACCATTCAAATTGATTGAAATGCTTTATGTCTTTGAAAAAGGGAACTAACAAACCTACAGAACAATTGATAAAAAAAAAAACAAGAAATGGGGGAGGAGGACAAGAAGGACGAAACAACAAAAGCATAGCAAAAGGCAAGCCATGCTAGGCCCACAATTAAAAGAATTTTTGTGTGGATGGATTGCACCATCAAGATCCCAATCTATTTGGCTGTATATATATATATATATGCAGATATAAACTATGCAATCTACCTTAAATCTTCAAAATCATCAGTACAGCCCATTAAAGTTCCATGAATTATAGAGAGATTTGTTGCACACACAGGTTCAACTTGAACAAATGCAAACAGTACAATTGTCAGCCATCAGCATTCGTATGACAAGCATGCTAATATGGAGCATTACATTTAAGCTAAAAATTCAGATCCACTCTGTTTGATTTAATCTTTGCCTTTAAATAATTATTAGGTAATAAATATTAGCTCATAGAAAAGAAAGACTACAGGGTTTAGGTCTCCATCCAACTCAATGACTCAGGGTTTAGCTAATACAGTACTGTTCATAATTAGACAACAATAATTTATAGTGCAGTACTCTAGATGGTTCTAGATGGTTCAGAACCTTCTTTATGAGCCCTGAACAAACTACGTTACAATGCCAGAACATACAGGCAAAGGGATGTCAAAGCATTGCCTATGCCAACAGAGGCCCTTCAAAATGAACATCTACCATGCAACTGTCAGAACTACTCAAAATAATCTAGAAAATGAAATTTCATGTCCAGAACCCAAAGATAATCAGTTATTTAAAGATAACCAGCCATAAAAGTTTTTCATAACATACCCTATAATATAATGACATTATTAGATGATTCAAAACTTAAACCATAATGTCAACTCCTCCCCCATAATGAAAGTCTTCTCAAGGAATTCTTAGGCATTTAAATAGACACATGCACCAGCAAAACAAAAAACCAAAAAAAAAAGGAACTGTATCTTATTTACCACCCCCAACAATCACTCCCAAACAATCTCCAGAATGCAAGTATTATTGTCGTCAATGAATCTATGCCAGTATGTCTAATTTAATTTTGGTAGGTCTCTGGGCACACAAATTTCACTGCCACCATGATAATCAGGATCCAACTTTCCACTAAGTAATTGAGTATGACCACCAACTTTAACAGGAAAGAGAGGTTGACCTTTGCAAACTGTTTAGCACCATGAAAACTCCTATGGTATTGTGAAGTTTCTCTGAAGAGTCATCCCTAACAAAAGTCAGTACAAACCTGCACAAAACCTCTTTAAATTAAAATCCATATAGGGTCAAACTGTTGTGCACCAGGACAACCCCTATAGCATGGTGAAGCTTCTCTGAAAAGCCATCCCTAACAAAAGGCAGTAAGAAAACTTGCATGAATCCTCTTCTGATAAATGTTATGTATATATGTACATGTGTCCACAAAACACACATACGGAAAGTTTTTCAGGTCAACTTTGACATGCATCAAAGTGATGATAAGATATTTTTGGGAGATGATCATATGGATTAGTTATCTTACTTAACAAAAGGCGGTGAAAAAACCTTGCATAAACCCGTTTCCAATAAATGTTATGTATATATGTACATGTATCCACAAAACACACACACGGAAAGTTTTTCTGGTCAACTTTGACAATCATCAAAATGACAATAAGATATTTTTGGGAGACGATCACATGGATTAGTTATCTTACCTAACAAAAGGCAGTAAAAAAAGATTGCATAAATCCTCTTCTAGTAAATGTTATGTATATATGTACGTGTGCCCATAAAACACATACAGGGCAAGTTTTTCAGGTCAACTTTGACATGTCAAAAAAACTTGCAAAAATTCTCTTCCAATAAATTTTATGTATACATGTACATGTGTCCACAAAACACACATATGGCAAGTTTTTCAGGTCAACTTTGACATGCATCAAAGTGACGATAAGATATTTTTGGGAGATGATCACATGGATTAGTTATGTTACCTGCTTTTAATCCTTAGCAATTCGAACAACCAAACCACTGGGTGTCTGAATGGTTTTGAGGTGACCTGAACCAATTAGATCTCTAAGATGAAATCTCATATCCAGTAGAGAATGATGCAGGCGTTTCTTCTCCAAAAGAGCCAACATCATCTCCTTGTACTTCCTGCGGTTCAGAAAAGAGAGAAGCTCTTTTCTTCCCTAAGACAAAAGATCTAATCAATGCAAGATAATTAACACCGACAAATGCTAAAAAATTCTAAGATGCATCTTGAAAAGCTGCTTTCTTCTACCACACTCTCTATGTATGGGAGTTATGGGCTTATAACATGTATCACAGCTTTTCTTCCCCATCTTCTTTCAGTCCCCTGTCCCCTCCCCACCACCACTGCAAACCCACCCACCCCCCCCCCAACCAGACAGAGAGAGAGAGAGAGAGAGAGTGAGAGAATCTCTTTTTAGAAGAGAAGAAATTACCAATACATGTTATCCAGTCAACCCATTAAATGATTAATGGAGCAATATTTGTTTTGTTTTTTTGGGGGGGGGGGGTATCAACTATCAAGATTCTAAAAGCAGCTCCATGAGCAAGACAAATGGTCACATGACCAAGTTTCCTTAAAAAAATTACAGAATCCCAGTATAAAATGCACCTTATCTTACAAGATACCAAAAAAAATTTTCAATGTAACAATGCTGGGAATCTTATAAGATTTTGAGCATTAAGAAACTAAAGACTAAGAACTCATTGCAGGCATCATGACAAACTAAACTATGGGTAAATAAACTGATGGATACCACCACTTCTGTACTAGTGGTATGGAGTCAGCCACTAAATCTGCATATGTGTTGATGAGGGATTTTATGGGAGTTGAAGAAAAGACTTCTAAAATTGAAAAATACTAGGAATAACAGCATCTTAATTCTAACCTGAGACAGGCCCTTAAGTACCGAACCAATATTTGGAATTGCAAACCAGTACATGTTGGGATCAATAAGTTGCCGAGTCTGAAAAAAATACCGCCACATCAGGAAAAAAATCCATATTACATATAGGAATGAGGACCAACTGGAGTGCGAAAATAGAAAAAGAAGCACATTCAACTAGCAAACCAAAAAAAATGGTAATAGTAATAATCACTTTCCCATGCATGCCAACCATAATGATTCAATTTTAACCCATATAAATCCACAAACAACAAAATCCAATTTTCTCCTGATAAAAGTGCTTTAAAAACACAATGGCCTTCAATCAACTAAAGCCCTCAGGCAGCCCATTACATACATTTCTAAGCTACATTGTACTACAATTACAACTACTAATAGTAGTGTCTGCACACATCGACCAAACTATTCCAGAACATAATAAGGAAAAGAACAGAAATCTAGGAGTGCCAATTCATTTTGAGCTCCCAGCCAATTCTAGACTACTGGAATCGACTCAAAAAAATGAAAGCCAAATAACTGTACCAATTCAACAAAAGTGAAAAAAAAAGAAGTTATGTACACTTACAAGAAGGCCAGCATTAATCAGAAGAGAGATGTGTTCCTCTTTTACCTTTCCCACCAATGAGAGAAGTGAAAACTATCAAGGAAAAAAAAAAGGACAAGAGTAAAACATTCAAATCATTAAATTAGTGAATGAAGGTCAAAGAACACGACAAAATTGTCCATATAAAAGTACCTAGAACTCAGGTTCTAATACTATTTGTGCCCATTGTCAAAGAAATGCATGACCATCATAAACTAAATTGAGACAAATCAGGTTTGTCGAATTATGGAGACAAGAAGTAAAACCCAGTTAAAGAGGAAGATAATCAATGGAAAGATGTAAACAGAAAACAAGTGTCCCCTGTTTGACATCACATGAATGATTGCCAAGCCTTATTTTTGTAACATCCTTCAACTGTCTTACATCAAAGAACTCACTGGCATGATTCTGATACTCTCTTGCACACAAAATCGTTTCCATGCATCTGTGAAGAAAAGTAAGCCATGACCTCTTATCATTCAAGCAATATGTTAGGACATTCAATGTCTGCAATAGATTGCTTACAAGTTCTTGATGTCCAATACTAGGATCCAGCTTGGAAGGAATGACGTGTGTTTTAAACCAATCAAAAACAGTCAGATCATCTTGCCTCTTGGTCTGAAGTCGTTTGACAGCACGCTCAATCTAGAGAAAAAAATTGGAGTTGATCAAAATGATCAAAGCAGTCCTAAAGTACCTAAAAAATTCACTTGCTCATGAGCACATGTTATAAAACAATGCCTTCCAGGATTTGAGCACATTAAAAGACATACGACATAGAATACCTGAAAATTGTGTTGTACAATATAGAGACCATAAAAGTACTACTACTATCAAGAATAAGCTCGAAAAGAAGAAAAAAAGAAAAGAAAATTTGTAGGACAAGTATATCCTCTACAGATAAAACGCGGATACATAACCCACCATTCGTCAAATTAACCAAAAAAGAAGTGACACTGCACGGGAGGTGTAAAGCAACCAACTAACCTGACTTTGGTAGTCATCCACAAACATTACAGCATGATCGTCTTGCCCAGTATTTAATTTAAAAACACGTATAATGCATTCCCTTTTCAAAGACTGCAAAATAACAAAGTTAAAATGAATTAGTCTGCCACAGAAAGGCTGACAAAACCAAACCTCCGTCGTGCTTGCAGGCCGCAGCAGCAGCAGCAGCACCTACCTCTAATTCCCTATCCACTTGTGTCCTGTCCTTGACGCTGCTGTATAATTGTGACCTTAAAATGAAAGGCTGAATTGAAACCTGTTTCCAGCATGCTTTTAAATGTTTAGCTCATGCTAATTGTAACGCAGGCTTTCTCGCTACAGCTAACACTTAAAACTATGAATGCCGATTCAGCTCTGATCGACTAGCACAAATAATCAATCAAGGTCATCAATTAAAGGAACAAAAATGTATATTGAAAATACCTTTTCGATTCGAGGGAACTGAGAACGCATCATCCGAAGAGCTACCAAGGTGTCGCTAAAAATTAGATTGTCCCCTGCAAGTGCATGCATTCATGTTTGTCGTAATTAGCATCGCAATGCCCCGAGGTTAATTACCAGTATTCGCTCTCTCAATTTCATACTGCTCTACTAATAGAGTATTTTAATGAATAAGCATTTTGCCAGACCAGAAAATTCCACGGACCTAGTGATACAGATTGGTCGGCTGCTTCAGTCTCCGGCGAAGAATCCTGCTCTCGTTGACGTTTTCTGCCGGTCGATGCCTTCGACGTCGTTGCTTCCATCGGGATTACGATTCTCAGCTACGGTTCTGAGCTCGTCCAACTTGGTTATTCTAGAGTCCGTAGCGCTTAGGTTGCTTTGGGAAAATTATGATGCAGTGGCCAGATCTTGAAATTAAATCCTTAGTGAGATAGTATGGGAATTTCGCCAATTTGGTCCCTAAATATTTTCACTTAAATCAATTTCGCCCTTAATGAAATATTTTAACCAATTTAGTCCTTAAACTAGTTTTTTACTTCCAATGTAAGACTTTTCACTGCATTTACTCAATTCCCGTGGACCAACGGGGATATAATTGTCACATTGATTTAATCTTCTGCAATTAGCCGACAAAACATATTAGAGATGATTACAAAAAGGGGCACGCATCTGGGTTTGAAGACATTAAGGCTCATCACAATTTCTCAATTCTATTTGCAAAGAGCATTGGTTGCTTCTTGGAGATGCACGTGCTACATCAGTAGCACACGGTCTCTCGGATGCGATTTATTATGCTAATCATTATATCGAGGCTGGAGCTGATGCTTCCTTAGTGGAGACACCAAGATCCCTTGAGGGGCTCATAGAAATTGGAGAAAAAAAATGTAAAGGAAAAATGAAAAACAGATATCTGCAAAGGAGATAATTGAGGAGCTAGATGAAGAAAAGAAGTTAGTAAAGTTTTAAGCTCTCAAGTCCATTGAAATCATCAACGTAAAAGATTACAACATGCGGGTGGTCTTGATTCCTGATACACTAAAGTATCTCCCACGGCCTGATTGGAGAAGAAGGATTTAAAGGTTCCTGAGCCAACCAGTGCCTGCAGCTACTTGGGTTACCATTCTACAGTTACTACCTTTCTGTTCTTCAAGAGGCTTGGAAAGGGAAAGGAAAGAATAGCCCGGCCATTGCTAGCAATTCGGCCGACTGCGTGGCTTGCTAAAAATGGAGAAACCATCAGCAGCTTCAGCCTGTGGATAGTGGAGGAAAAAGAGCCCGTATTGAAGTCCCTGTTAGATGTAAATTTGATCCCATTGATGAAGAATTGATGTTTTATTTGAGGAAAAAATTTTGGTTGATCGCGATGGTTTGCCTGAGTATATTCCCACTACTGATGTTTTTGGAAAAAAAAAAAAGGATGCATTAAGGGAGAACTATTTCAATGGGGCATCAAGTTCGTGCAACTACCAACACTCAAATCAAATTATCATATCTGATTCCAAAGCTTCGCGAGGCTACTGTTAGCTATGCATCGAATTGAAAAAAATGTCTTACCATTTGAATGCTGCGTTGGCAGCCAATTAAACTGATGGGCAAAGAGAGAGGGTGAAAAATGGACTGTATAGGAGCAAGCTGCCACAAGGGGTTCGATAATGTCATTTTTCTCCATTTTGCAACGCATGTGCCTAATTAACTAGACTAGACGTTGTGGTAGAATTCTTCTGCATGGAGTTGCAGTTGCAATAAGCTTGCTGAAGGATGAATCATCATCCCCTGAAATTCCGGACATGTTGGATAACCCCATTCTACCATCATTCTCCTGCATGCTTCCCACAACACACATGTCAAAAAGGCCATGACTAATACATGAACTTGCGTCATCTGCTGTGTTGGATAACCCTGACCTAATGGCTAGTACTTCCTTCTTTCCACCTACACTGCAAATTTGTTTCTGCCCCATTCCACTCCACACCATGGAATTCAATCCCCAAGAGAAGCAATGCCACTTCTTTATGTTCAAGCTCCAGTTCTTCTCCTTCGTTCCATTTCTGTGCATTCACCTTTATTCTTCAGTTGTTTTAGCTCCCATTCTCTAGGATCCTTCCACTCGACTTCACTTTTTGTCACTTTACTTGAGAACCCCTTACCAGCAGCCCACAAAACTACTCATTGACCTCACTGGCTCTTTCAATTAGGAGGAATGCACCTGCAGCATCCCTCTTCCTGTACGTACCGCTACCACTCGCTTTCCTGCACTTCTCTTATTTGCAACTGGCTCAATTCACCTACTTGTTCAAACTGTTCTTTTGAACCCATTGATCCCATTTGCTCCGATGGCTTGTGCCATCTCTTCCTCGCAAAACCAAGGAACCGGAAAAGACTGAGGGTACAAGCACTAGCTGATATCAGGCTCTCTTCTCTGTTTTGTCAGCTAATGATCTCTTCATCATAATGATCTCTAATCTGTTTTGTCAGCTAATTGCAGAAGATTAAATCAATGTGACAATTATACCCCCGTTGATCCACGGGAATTCAGTAAAATATAGTGAAAAGTCCTACATTGGAAGTAAAAACTAATTCAAGGACTAAATTGATTAAAATATTTCATTAAGGACAAAATTAGTTTAAGTGAAAATGTTTAGGGACCGAATTGGTGCAATTCCTGAGATAGTATTATTGACTCTTCACCCGTAGGCATACGTAATACTGTGCTAATAATAGCAAATTGATTTTTCGTAGATTTCAAATTGCACATCAGACCTTCAACCCTTCAAATTTTTTTTCCCCTTTGGTAAAAGTAATGATTAGTTGCTTTTAATTTAGTCCTAATTCTGCCCATTACAAAACAAACCTTTAATCCCGCGTTTAAAACCTGCCCGTTCGCATTCTTACAATAGTAGATAATTGCTCAGAATCTCACTTCTTAATATCCAGGGTTTGCACTTTTTCCTTTATGTTTCTCTGGTTTTTAACTAATCTCGTAGTATCCGTTTAAGAAGGACGTACAGAATAGTAGCGTTTTCCTTTCTCTTTTCTTTTTCATTTTGAGGTGGAGGTACAGCCGGGGCAGTAAATTGTAGAGGTAATTTGCAACATAATAAATACGTCATCCTCCATGCTGAATTCGCTAATAAATCCAAGTTCCAATAGTTTTAGTTCTAAGATCACGTCAATGCTAGAAGACGCTGTCGTGACCACGCCCTTCTTTGTCATTCTCACTCGTGACAAAACTCAGTCCAGTTGCATAACTAAACTGAATTTATCCTACAACAAAATCGAGTCCGTTATCCAACACTCAATTTTCTCAAGTAACTATCCCATGCGCAAAAAAACGTTGAAATCTCAAAGCTATGAATGAATCCTTAAGCCGATTTCAACTTTGCTGAAGTGGAGGCTAGGTAAGAAAGGGTCCTATGTCCGGTAAATATCAACGAGATTCCCAAGATTCCAAGTGCTTTCAATGTTGTAAACAGATCCAACTGCAAAACACGGTAGAAAACAAAGCATTAGCCATTCGGAATTGCATGCAAGTCCACGTTGAGGATTAATTTGGTGTTTAGTTCATCAACAAATATTTAGATGTAATTCCATTTCCACTCATCAACAAATATTTAGATGGAATTCCATTTCCACTCACAAGGCCCTCAAGGCTATTCAAATGGATGAAGGAGCACTCAAGCTACATGAAACCTAAAGCAAAAGAGCAGGTTCTTGCAGCTAAACCCAAAGTTGATGCTGTTCAACTACTAGGGGGGAAAATACTCAAAGAAAACTTTATCTACTTGTTAATATGGAATTATGACCATGTCCAAAGGATCATATTGAAAATATGGACAGTAAACAGTTGAAACAGAGGGCAGTGGTCTTATTAGTTTGATAATGCAAGTGTACTTACAGTGGCACCAATTGTCAACACAAATTCAGGGAAATAGTAATCCAAGACAAAAGAGGTTAAAAAACCCTCATGGGTTCATTTCTCTCTTTTGGTGTGCTTCATACAAAATGGGCCAGGTTAAATGGAAAGAAAATTCAGAGCTTACAATGAACTAGGAAGCAACTATGCTAAAGCTATATAAAAGTGAGAGTATAGGCTAACAGTGTAAACATGAAAATGCTCTGTTTGCCTAAGCACCTTTGCATAATCCTAACCACCATTTTATCTCACAGGCATCACATCCCAAGAGTGCTACAATATTTTTCAAAAACATGCAATAAAAGCACGTTAAAAAAAAAATTCTGTTTCCCTTAATTGCTTTTTGCTGAAAAAGGCCAAGGCAAGTTAGCCGAGGATCTAGGAAGAGCTAAAAAGCAAGCAGTTTACATCTAGGTAGGCAAGGTGGTTCTCAAATTGACCATGGCACAATGGAGCAACGTTACAGTTGAACCAAGGGCTACCATTTCCCACTTAGTACTATGTTTTTTACATCTACTGTCACATAATAATGAAGTTATTTTGGAGTAGCAATGATGGAAAGGAATCCATGGAGACTATATGCCCAACCCAGACGGCAACCCACACAACCTGGCCCCCTCCCTCCATATCCCTCAAAAAAAAAAATGAAACCAAAGTAAGATATGGCCCCTAAATCTCAAAAAGCAGCGCAAAGTAACAAACCTTCAACCAGAAGACCACATATAGTGAGAGAACAGCTGCAATTCCTATGTGGAAGGAAATGGCAAAAAAGGCAGGAAGTGTTGATGAGGGGAAGTTCCTCAGGTTAACCCGGAGCAATAGAAGCTGCAAAGATTGGAGGGAATCAGTATTGTGATCTCGGATGTCAAGCAAGGTTGAGCTAGTTAACAAATTTACTAATAACAAAGGAAGGGAAGAGTGCAGAAACCTCCCAAAAAAATGCACGCACACACACACATAGAAGCATAGGAAACATGGCATCATAACCTTAGGCTGCAATACTCTGTCGGCTCCTACATATTCCCTTGGATGTAAACACAAATAGAAAATAAACATTCACAAGCAATACCCCACATACTGAGTAAATGCCATATCCACACTCCTAAAAAGTCATACTTTGCGGCAAACAAATACTCTTTTCTCAGCTTCTCTTGTAACAAATGTAAACATGCTTAGACAAAACAGAAGATAAATAAACATGAACCCACAACTCACCCCAATCAAGAATCCACCAAGTGGCAAGAGAACAAGCCCCAAGAATGCAAAAGAAAGTTCTGTAGGAGGTCTCTTGTCTGGGGATCTAAAAATGTGAGTGATCTCTGCTCTTGGCCCGTATTTTGAGGAAGAGTCTACAGGTTGTGGAGGAGGGCGAGCTGCTTTTTCTGGTGCATCTGGTAGATCTAAATCAAGATAGCCCAAAGGTTGCAAGAAAGAGTTCTCCTGGAAAAGGGAAAAATATTTATTTAATACAT